CTGGTGCTTTGGGTCATCTGCATTTCAAATGGAGCAGGAAGACTACAAATTATAAGGGAGAAGGATATTTTAGTACTGTTTCACTCTCACCTTTGACATGCAGTGTAGCTTTTTAGAATCTGTGCTACCACTGGCATTCAAAACCATTCTTCCACTTCCCCTTTCTTCCAGCCTCTTGGGAAAAAAGCTTCCATAATCGATTGGAAGATAGAAGCCAGAGCAGGATTCTTCTCTTTCTACTTCAGATAGCCTATCTGGCAGTTGGCTCCATTTTCTCTGTGGCTCCAGCTACATAGGCCTGCTACAGTTCTAGCTTATATTTGATGATGTCTAAGATCCAGTGACATTGTCTATTACTTCCGTCTCTTCAACCCAGGCATTATTGTAGAATCCTGCTCTTGTAAATCTGTGGCATTCCCTTTGGAATGCCAGTTCCCTGCAACATATTCCTTCTGTTGTAAACACATAAAGTAATTTCTGCCTTCATAGTTAAATATGAAGGGTAGCAGCATATGCCATCCCAAAATATGTCACTTTGGCATAGGCATTATTTTGAGCCAAAGGCATTGAGAAGAAACAAATGAGGGGCTGGGGTTGTGGCTCTGTGGTAGAGCACTTGCCTAGCATGTGTGAGGCACTGGGTTTGATTCTCAGCACCACATAAATAAACAAATAAAGGTATTGTGTCCATCTACAACTAAACATATATATTTTTTTTTAAAAAAAGAAAGAAACAAATGAAAGAAAAGCTCTCTGAGGGATAAAGGTGTGACCAAATGGCAGAGACTAGCTGAGCAAGGTTTTGAGTTTTAACCCTAGCACTGCAGAAAAACACAAACAACAAACAAACAAAAGCTCTGGTGCTAGAATGTTGCCTAGCATGCATGAGGCCCAGAGTTCCATCCCCAACACCACCAAAACAAACAAACAAACAAACAAACAAAAAACCCTACTCTCTGCCTACCCTCCCCTTTTTACCTACAGGGAAAACATAAGTTTGTAAAGGTGTCCACACTCCCTTCTCTACCAGGAAGGACAGAATTTAATCACCTTAACTCTAGACTTTTAACCTGGAGATGGCACCAGAGCAATACACATAATAAATTTTGCTAAAACTGGCCCTTATCTATCACCAGTTTCCCTACATATTTGTCTTTTCACAATTCATTGCCCCAAGGAAAAAAATTTTTTTTAGTTGTCAATGGATCTTTTACTGTGTTTGCATGCGGTGAACCCAGTGCCTCATACATGCTAAGCAAGCACTCTACCGCTGAACTACAACCCCAGCCCTGCCCCAAGGAATTTAAAGTTTACCTTGTACTTCATATTGTGTAAAGCAACTGAAATGTAAAATCTCAAGTAATTCTCTGTCTCTCTCTCTCTCTGTCTCTGTGTGTGTGTGTGTGTGTGTGGTGCTGGGGATTAAATACAAGACCTAACTTATGCTGAGTGATCCCTCTACCACTGAGCTTCATCCCCAGCCTCATAATGACTTTTCCAGGCATTATTGCTTATTTTACAGATGAGAAAATAGTCTCACAAGAATTGAGGCTTGCCTAATGTCTCACAGTACAGCAGGGGAGTATATCCAAGTCTGTATGAAATATATGCAATTTTAGAATACCTTTGGCTCTGGCCAATTTGTGTTTTGCTTTGTCCTCTTTAAACAATGTCACCTGCCTTAATTTTTTTTATTTTACATTTTTTTTCAAGGAAGCAAGTTTCTTTTTATTTATCAATTGTGTTTTTGTCTGCTAATTCACTTATTTCTTTGGTGGGAGTCATCTGACATTATTATGTAAATGTGACCTTACAAAACAGTTTACAATTAACGATGACATCATTTGTTTAGTTACAATAGATTTTCACCTCATGAAATAGCTCTCAGCACACTTAAAGCCCTGGGGCTCCCAGGTGCTGGCTGATGTTTCTGTTTTTTTTTTTTTTAAAGAGAGAGAGAGATTTACTTTTGGGTGGACACAACATCTTTTTTCTTTTTCTTGGGAGAGAGAGAGAGAGAATTTTAATATTTATTTTTTAGTTTTTGGCGGACACACAACTTTGTTTGTATGTGGTGCTGAGGTGAGCGCGCTACCGCTTGAGCCACATCCCCAGCCCACAACATCTTTATTTTATTTTTATGTGGTGCTGAGGATCGAACCCGGCGCCCTGTGCATGCCAGGGGAGCGAGTTACCACTTGAGCCACATCCCCAGCCCCATGTTTCTGTTCTTTTAGTGTTTTAGTGATTGCTATAATGTGGCTAAAAAATAACCATCTTGACTATCTAAAAAACAGCACACAAAGAGGTGTGAAGAGGCAGGAAGAGCAAAACAAAGGCTTCTTTCTTCTTGAATGCCTGTAATCCCAGCTACTGGGGAGGTTTAGGCAGGAGGATGGGGAATTCCAGGCCAGCCTGAACAACATGGAGAAATCCATCTCAAAACAAAAACCTAGAACAGAAAAGAAAACAAGTGTAGCTCCTATAGCTCAGTGGTAGAGTATATGATCAAAAGATGCCAAGATGGGGCTGGGGTTGTAGCTCAGTGGTAAAGCCCTTTCCTAGCACATATGAGGCACTGGGTTTGATTATCAGCACCACATAAAAATAAATAAATTAATTAATTAAAGGTATTGTGTCCATCTACAAGTAAAAAGATTTTTTAAAGGAAAAAAAATATTAAGATGCCAAGTACAGTGGTGTAGGCCTGTAATCCCAGCCCCTCAGGAGGCTGAGGAGGATTGGAAATTCAAGGCCAGCTTCAGCAATTTAGCAAGGCCCTAAGAAATTTAGCAAGACCCTATTTCAAAATAAAAAATAAAAAGGTCTGGGAATGTAGTTCAGTGGTAAAGTGCCCCTGGGTTACAACTCCAGTAGAAAAAAAAAGAAAGAGAGAGAGATGTTAAGGCATTCTGGAAGGCTCCTCTGATCCCAGGCCAGCTGCCAGTCCACTGTGTGGTACATTCACAGGATGCTGAGGGAGTGCCCATGCAGTACTGGGGACTGAATCCAGGGCCTAGCACGTGCTATGCAAGCTCTCTACCTCTGATATATATTCCAGCCCTAGTTAAAAAGATAACCCAAAAGACCTGGATTAAGAAAAAAGTCTTTGTCAGCTAGTTCTTGGATATTTTTCTCCTTTTGCCCAAATGAAGGGCAAAAAAGCGTTCCACTTTTTAGATGTTACATCTATTTCAGAAATATTGTTCAACAATGTATAGGTCAAACTAAACTCATTGGTGAATCTGATTCAGTAAGAGGGCTGTCATTTTATGTCTTCTGGTATAGGGATACTGATGAGTCAAAATAAGGCTTCTCTCTCCCTAGAACTGGAAAAGATTTCCTAGAGAGTAGAAATGGAGAAGACTTAAACATTGAGTGTTTCCTTAATAAAGGGACTCAGTTTCTTTTCCTCCTCCAACTCTGGGCCAAACTCCTGACACATGGGAAATGAAATTCCAGATGGTTTTGAGGGGCTCAAGTTCAGAATCCTGGAATAGCTTACTGGTAGAGTTGTGTTTAGCATTGTGAGGCCCTGGATTTTTATCCCTCAGCACTGGTGGGCATGGTGGGGAGCATGGATACAGAATTCTTCTTTCCTCCTTCCCTAAATACTAAATAGAGTCAAGGACTGTGCTGAGACCAAGGAATTTGTTTGGCACAGTCTAACGTTGGAGTTTCACGTTGTGTTTTGGCGGATTAGACTCTGATTGTTCCATTTAGGGGCTGAGACTGTGCCTGAGTTTATTTTCTTGAGACAGCACAGAGAGCGACAAAATCAATTTCTAGGAGTTCAAGAGAGTTACAGAAGTGGAAAGGAACTCGGCTGAAATAGAAGAGTCTCTCAGATGGGAATGAAAGATTACATGGCAACACTTATGAAGATTCATAACAGAATGTGGTCTGTTATAAATTACATTTTTTTAAGTTACACTTTTTGATCATTTGAGTTTATAGGACAAAAATTGTACCTCCTATGCTAGTCTACCTGCTGTAATTCTCCTGCCTCATATTCCAAGTTTGATATGTAGTATTGCCATTATTATTTTCTAAACCATTTCCCATTACAACTTCTGGTTTCTCCTGACACAAAATTAACTCCACCCTATCTCCCACATTACCCAGATCCTTGCCCATGCTAGCCAAGTGCTCTACTACTAAGCTACACCCCCACCCCATAACTCAACATTTTTATAGATGTAAAAATAGATTTTTTTTTTTCAAAAACTTAAATTTCATTACTATGAAGAGTATTTTTGAAATTACTAAGCCTCAAACTGTGTTTAATTTTAATACTTGTTTTCTGACACATGGGAAATGATGTTTTTGTTTTTCTGAATACTCTCTTTCTCAAAGCTTTTTCTAATTTATTTTCATTAAACGCCATGTCTTTTATTTAAAAGCTAATGAGGTAAAATAATTTAAAGTCATCAACATAATAAAACCAATAAGATCACAAACATTTCCAAAATCAACTTTATTTGCTCCATGGATCTCTGAGGAAATGTTATCTCCTCAGGATGACCTTGTGAATTTAAAAGAGAACTACATTGTCTTCCCCCCTCCACATATACAGGCTTTCAATCCTCTTACTTGGTATTCTTTTTCTCTATGGAAATTTACCTCCATTGGACACACTATATATTTTATCCGTTTCCATGGTGATAAGACTCAAGGGCTGGGTTCCTACACCCATTCCGATTTGTTTACTAGTATCTTCTAAGTGTGGAAATCAAAATACACCCAAAGAACCAAGAAATTGCCTAGTGCTCAGAATGACTATTCAACATCTGGATTCCTGGGTGGTACAGAAACAGCACATTAATTACAATAATTTTTTTTTTTTTTTTTACTTTTTCCTCCCAGCCCTTTCCTCCTTTAACGTGGTAAATAAAGTTTGCTGGCCTAAGAGTAGCTTCCATATCAATCTTTTGGTCAATGAAGAGATTTCAGCGAAAATACAACTAAATCAGCCAAGAAGAGGGGGGTAGGGGAGTGATCTAAGCAGTAGCCTCAATGGGGCATTCCCTGGCTAGATGTCCAGATTCGCCACAGCGGTAGCAGTTCACTTCGCTTGCCTTACTACAGTTCACTGCTACATGGCCGGTCTCGCCACATCGGTAGCATTTGACTTGGGTACAGTCTTTCTGGATGTGCCCGAATTCACCGCAAGAGTAGCATTTCTGTTCTTCCTGATGGTCACAATCACGAGCTAAATGGCCTGGTCTGCCGCAGGTGTAACAGCACTGTTCTCTGTCTCTTTTAGGATCCATACAGTCTTTGGCGATGTGGCCACTTCTCCCACAGTTGTAGCAGATGTTCTGGTGAAGGTCACAGTTTTTGACATGATGACCAGTCTCACCACAGCGGTAACAGATGTCAGATTGGGTGGTGGAACTGCACTGAGGACCTCTGCCGCGGCCTCTAGGTCCTCGCCCTCGAGCTCCTCCTTTAGGGCACTCCCGGGCCCAGTGGCCAGACCCTCCACACTTGAAACATTCTTTACCGCTCATGGCCGCGGTGAGATCTTTTGGTGAGCAGGCCCACCCACCGGTGCCAGGGAGGCCCAGAGGCAACTCCCCTTAGGATGGCTTAGATGGAAATGACTCTTTTCCTACCGGGAGCTCTGTGACGTCACATGAGGTTTGCGCACGGCCTCATTCACAGGTGTTCTAACCGCCTTCTCCCTCCTACTCAAGCAGTCAGAATTGATAATAGATTAAGTGCTGTTTTCAGTTTGTTTGTTACCAGGTATTGAGCCTAGGGGCGCTTAACTACTGAGCCACATCCCCAGCCCTTTTTAATATTTTATTTTGAGACAGGGCCTTGCTGAGTTGCTTAGGCCTCGCCATTGCTGAGGCTGGCTTTCAACTCCTGATCCTCCTGCCTCAGCATTCCGAGTCACTGGGATTACAGGCATGTGCCACCTGCCCGGCTCAGTTTTATTTTTAACATTTGAACCGCTAAGTATGAGTTTGTTAAGACAATGTGACTGGTACAATTTTTCATAACTAGGAGGCTTCCGGGCCCAAGGTTGTTAAGTGGTATGGCACATGCGCAAGGCTCTGGGCTCACTCCCCCCCCAAAAAAAACCCTTTATTTGTGGTCTAGTAGATAATCAGTTTTTATATATGTTTTGTGGATACAATATGTGAGAAGTTAATCCAATAAAGGAAAGAAGTTTTACAAATTAGAGTAGACTATTTTTTCCTATCTTTTTTGTTCAGGAGCGGTGTGTGTGTGTGATGGAATCCAGGGCCTCTCACATATTAGGCACCTGCTCTACCACTGATCTACATTCCCAGACCTTATTTATTTGGCCGTGTGGAGGGTACTGGGGATTGAATCCAGTGGTGCTTCACTACCGTGCTACATTCCCCAGCCTTTAATTTTTTTTTTTTTTTTTTAGTTTGAGAATTTGACAGTGTTTTGCTGAATTGCTGAGGCTGGCCTCAAACTTGTAATTCTCCTGCCTCAGGCTCCTGAATTGCAGGGAATACAGGCGTGTGCCACCAGCTTGGCTCCCAGAGCGCTCTCTCTCTCTCTCTTTTCTTCTTTTTTTGGTCATTGTTGTTTTAAAAAAATAAAACGTGGGGCTATTTGTGGCTCAGTGGTAGAGCGCTTGCCTAGCATGTGTGAGGCACTGGGTTCGATTCTCAGCACCACATAAAAATAAATAAATAAAAACAAAGGTTCATCCACAGCTAATCCATCCATCTATATACCTATCTACACAATAAAACGTGTGCTGATAAGATAGAAAAAAAAATCTGTAAAATGCCACAGTGAAAAGACATGCTCAAAATTTATCCCCGCCCCCACAAACTCTTCTTTGTTTAACCTAGGGACCATCTACTACTGAGCTAATCCCCAGCGCCCCCCTTTCAAATTATTTATTTATTTATTTATATATATAGAGAGAATTTTAATATTTATTTTTTGGTTTTCCCCGGACACAACATCTTTGTTTGTATGTGGTGCTGAGGATGGAACCCAGGCCACATGCATGCCAGGCGAGCGTGCTACCGCTTGAGCCACATCCCCAGCGCCCCCCTTTCAAATTTAAAACAGGGTTTCCCTGAATTGCTAAGGCCAGCTTTGAATTTGTGATCCTCCTATCTTAGTCTCCAAACTAGCTGGAATTACAAGCGTGCTTATTGCAGGAATCTTAGTTTTCAACATTATCACCATCATTTAATTTATAAAACAGAATAATATTGAAGCATTCAATATAAAAAAAGCTTATTCCTTAGAAAACATATTACAAAGTCAGAAATATTTAGACATTTCTTCTTTGTTGTTTCCCAAATTGTTTATAGATTGTATAAACTTCACAAGGATTTATGGACATGATGTACATTCATATAGATAACAGAAACAAATATTAGAGTAAGGGCTCTGACTCAGTGGTACAGCTTGTTCTTGGCATGCACATGGTTCTCAATCAGATCCCCAGCACCACAAAAAAGATAAGGGGGGGGGAACACAACATAATTAACACTGAAACATCATTGTCTTCTTTGTTTTTCTATTTGCAGTGCTAGGGAGTGAACCTAAGGCCTTGTGTATGCTAGGTCAGTGCTCTATGACTAATGCACACTTTCCCTTTTTCTCTTCTTTCTTTCTTTCTTTTTTTTTTTTTTTTTTTTTTTTTTTT